CACGGACAGGAACTGTTTTGTCAAGTCATGGATTCGGAATTTGCTGCTGATGCCCTGAACAAAAGCCGCTACAAGGAACGCCGAGCCCCGTGCGAACGGGCATTCCTAATATTGACGCCCCGACTGTACAACTTCGACCGAAGCGAGCATCTTATCGATACTCGCGGGGTCCACATCGGTGCTCACTAACGATCGCCCTCTCATCTATAGCCGTAACTCTTGCCCTCTGGCGCTTGCACGTGCTGGCGGCGCGCGCAGAGGGGTGGCGCGGTGCCCGTGAGAAGGCAGAGGGCTCCTCGGCAGCCCCCCAGCCTTCTGCGAAGCCTCATCGGACGCCTCCGGGTGCTTCAGATCGAGCACGCGCTGACATGGACATCCATGTCAGCGCGCGCGCCATGGATCTGGCGCGCGGATCCTCAATCCATGGATTGAGGACCCGCGGATCTGGCGCGCGCGCGCCACGTCAACGGATCGGGGAACGCACCCCTCTGAAAGCTGAGGCCGGTGCCGCCCGACTTGGCGACGGAGCGCGCCGGTTCTCGCATGGAGGTGGGACCTGCCGCCAATCCGCGCGCCAGAATCCATCGCGGTGCTTCCTCGACAGAAACGACCCACGCCCTCGAAGGAGCCCCCCCCGCGTTCTCAGAACCCTGAGATCCGACGCTGCGGACAAAAAAACAGCATCGTGTGGAATCACGACCGGAGCCGTAGACACAACCTTTCTGCGACTCTTTTCGACTCGGATTGATCTATCATGGTCACGGGGCCCAAACCCGCGTGCAAACGTCCGGATCTCAAGGTTCCAAAATAATTGTTCCATAACGTCGACTCCCAAAGGTCTCGCCCCCTTCCCAGGGACCCGGCTTTCCATCCCGAATCGTTGTTGATAGTAGACGCCGAGCATGGAGCAAAAACCTCCCGCCATGACTTGTGCCATGACTCGGGGGCGTCCGGGGGGGGGTGGTCAAGAAGGGGGGGTGCAAATCAAGGCCCAAGGCATGTGGGTGGACGAGGGGGGGCCAAGGAACGCATTGAAGTAAGAAGAGGGGCCCGGAAATCGGGGGAGATGTCATGCCCCCCGCCCATGATATCCCCCCCCAGTCATCACCCGCCTCCGAGCCGCCCCCGAGTGACTCGAGGGGTCTGGATTCTAGGGCGCCCCCCGGTCTTCGCAGAGGGTCCCCTCTCGCGCCACCCGCCGCCTGCGCGCCGCCAGCCATGTCGGGCGCCTCACGTCGCACGCTGCTCCGGTGGCAACTCGTGGACGCATTCCGTACCATCTTGTCGGCGCCTGCGGCTCGACGCTGGTCGATGTTCCATCGACGCTGAGCGACGCTGCATCGACGCCAAATCGGAGCCATCTCATCGACTCCCACACGCTCATCGGCGCCAAAGGCTGAACTAGGAGGGTACACCAGGCTCCCACACGATTTGCTACCGAAGCCAACCATGTCGAGCGCCTCCCGTCGCGCGCTTCCCCTCAGGGCGGCTCCCAGCGCGTCTCGCCCGTCGCACGGTTGAAGTAGTACGGCTTGCCGCTCTTGGGGTCGGGGGCCTGCTCCCAGCCCTGCGGCGGCACACGAGGACGAGAGGCCCCCCCCCCCTGGCGGAAGCGCGCCCTGGACCCAGCTCTCCGACGACGTGCTCCTCCTCCTCCTCCTCCTCCTCCTCCTCCTCCTCCTCCTCCTGCTCCGAAGACGACGACGACGACGACGACGACGACGACGACGACGACGACGACGACGACATGCTTCTGTTCAACCGGGGCGCTGTCCCTCGCTTTCAGCCCCCCGGGGCCCATCCTCGGCCCACCGGGGGCCATCGGCAGCGGCTCCAAGACCATATGGGGGCCGCGCGCTGACAAGTCAGATCTGGGGCGCGAGCTGATGGGGGAGCGATAAAGGAGGCAGGGGGGGGGGGCTCGGGGGTGAAAAAAAAAACCCTGCAGGAGGGGTTCAGGACCACCACATGGGGGCCGCGCGCTGAAAAAGTCAGATCTGGGGCGCGAGCGGATGTGGGAGCGATAAAAGAGTCAGGGGCGGGGGGGGGGAGAAAGGTGCCCTGTTCGGGCCCTCAAAGCCTCCTTTCTGGGCTAGACAGGGCCCCTTTGAGGGCCCTGCAGGGCCTTTTTGTTGGCAGTCCTCGCTGCCCCCCCGCCCCCATTCCCAGACCCCCAACAGGGGCCCCCAGAGGCCGAAGATGGAGATAAACCTCCCGCCGTGATCTCGTCTGACTACCTCCCAGGGCCCCACACGTGAAAACCCTCAAGTTTGGGTACTTCCTTGGTGCTCGAAATTATTTGTGGTGGTCAAGGCTAAAGTAGGTTCGAGCATCATAAGTGTACGCCCTCCTGGCTGGGCCAGGGAAGCGCGGGCACCGATCTGGGCCCCAGGGTCGGCGCGGCCAGGAAGCTTCGCTTCGAGGCGGCCAGCTGAGCGACGATCAAAAACGGGCCTTACGCGAGATGGCGCAGCGACCTTACGCCGCGGCTTACGCGGGCCGCTGGCGCGGCACGCTACATTAGAGACGAAGGCGCTTACGCGCGACCTTCCTTACGCGGGCAGCTTACGCGCCAATGTCGGCGAAGACGACCCCGTTTGTCTGTGTCGCTCAGCTGACGTCCCCCGACGCCCCGATGTCTTCAACGAAGGGGTGTCCCTGTCGAAAGAAGGGTCGGGACTTCCGGGGGTCCCCAGGACCGGCTCTCCATCGCGCGTCCTGTTTGTTGACGGCCCCGGGGCCCGGCGAGGGCCCCCGCCAGGACCCGCCCGTCGTGATTCTCGCCAGGGCGTGAGCACGTCTGGGAAGGGGCCCCAGGGGACCCGAAGGGACCTCCACGGCCCCTCTCCTCCAGAGGAGGAGGAGGAGGAGGAGGAGGAGGAGGAGGAGGAGAAGGAGGAGGAGGAGGAGGAAAAGGAAGAGGATGAGGATGAGGAGGAGGAGGATGAGGAGAAGGAGGAGGAGGAGGAGAAGGAGGAAGAGGAGGAAGAGGAGGAGGAGGAGGAGGAGGAGGAGGACCCCCCCGTTCCCTCCACGCGGCGGCCTGCGGCAGCGGCGGGCTGCCGCCAGGCCCGCCGGGGCCGCCCGGCCCAGGCCCGCCGCCGTAGCCGCCGGGGCCGCCTGCGGGCGCGGGGGGCGGCGTCCAGCTGCTCTCGCCAGTGGAGCGGTTGCAGAAGTAGGGGCGGCCGCTGGCGGGGTCGTTGGCCTGCTCCCAGCCCGGGGGCAGCGGCGGGGGCCCGCCGTAGCCCGGCGGCGGCATCCCGAAGCCGCCGCCGCAGGGCGGCATCCCGCAGCCGCCGTAGCCCGGCGGCGGCATCCCGTAGCCCGGCGGCCCGCCGAAGCCAGCGGGGGGCATCCCGAAGCCGTACCCGCCGCCGGGAGGGTCGCCGTAGCCTCCGCCGCGCCCGCGACTGCGGCTGCGGCTGCGGCCGCGCCCGCGGCCACCCCCGCCACCCCCGTTGTTCACGACGCCGTCGAGGCCCCCGGGCCCACGCCACGTCAGCGAATCGTCGCTGACCTGGACGCCCATGTCGCGGAGCTCGTCCCTCATCCGGTCCGCCGTGCTGAAGTCGCGGTCGCGGCGGTACTGCTGACGCTCGTCCACCAGCCTCTGGATGCGGTCCACGTCGACGCGGCCACCCCCTCCGCCTCCGCCGAAGCCGCCGCCTCCGCCTCCGCCGCGGCCACCCCCACCGCCTCCGTATCGGCCCTCGAGACCGCCTGGCCCAGTCCACGTCGAGGCGGCGTCGTCGACCTGGACGCCCATGTCGCGAAGCTCATCGCGGATCCTGTCCGCCTTGGCGAAGTCGCGGTCGCGGCGGTACTGCTGGCGCTCGTCGATCAGCCTCTGGAAGCGGGACCTCGAGCGGCTGCGACCCATGCTGCGGGCGGCCGAGGGCCGCGGTCGGACGGGCCGCCCTGGCACGGGCCAGTGGGGAGGCCAGGAACAGCCCAACCCAGACACACTCCAGGCCCTCTCGGCGGGCCTTCCCAAAGCGGTAAAACACGACACTGGGAGTGGACCTGGAGCAATGAGCAAAAGCGGCGCGGGGAGCGACAAAGGTAAAACCGCAAAACGGAGCTGGATAAAAAGCGGCCCTGTCTGTCAGGCCCCTCCGAAAGCAGGCCAATCCTTGGCAGCGTCTGCCCACTACTAAACTAGGAGGCCTGCCGTGCTGCTCCCAGACCCACCCCCGCTCTCTCTCGACCGCCACTCTCCGCGCCTCCGCACCTTGATCCAGCCCCCCTGGGCTCCCCGCGGGACGAAAGCCCATTCCTCCCACCACCACCCGCGATCCGCCTAATGAGGACCACCAGGGCCCCCTCAGAACGCCCGAAGAGAACCTTCGATCCCGTCCTCGCCCTCCTCTTCCTCCGCCTCCTCCTCCTCCTACCCCCCTCGTCATCGTCCTCCTCCTCCCACTCCTCGTGATCGTCCTCCTTCCCACCCTCCTCCTCCTCCTCCTCCTCCTCCTCCTCCTCCTCCTCCTCCTCCTCCTGATGCTGCTTCTCCACCTCCTCCTCCCTCCCTTTCCTCCTCCTCGTCCTCCTCCTCCTCCTCCTCCTCCTCCTCCTCCTCCTCCCTCCTACCTCCTCCTCCTCCTCCTCCTCCTCATCCTCCTCCTCCTCCTCCTCCTCCTCCTCCTCTTCCTCCTACCCCCTCGTCATCGTCCTCCTCCTCCTCCTCCTCCTCCTCCTCCTCCTCCTCTCTCCTCCTCCTCCTCCTCCTCCTCCTCCTCCTCCTCCTCCTACCCCCCTCGTCATCGTCCTCCTCCTCCCCCTCCTCGTCCTCTTCCTCCTCCTCCTCCTCCTCCCTCCTCCTCCTCCTCTCTCCTCCTGATGCTGCTTCTCCACCTCCTCCTCCCCCCCTTTTTCCTCCTCGTCCTCTTCCTCCTCCTCCTCCTCCTCCTCCTCCTCCTCCTCCTCCTTCCTCCTCCTCCTCCCTCCTCCTCCATCCTCCTCCTCCTCCTCCTCCTCCTCCTCCTCCTCCTCCGCCTCCTCCTCCTCCTACCCCGTTCGTCATCGTCTTCCTCCTCCCCATCCTCGTCATCGTCCTCTTTCCCGTCCTCCTCCTCCTCCTCCTCCTCCTTCTCCTCCTTCTCCTCCTGCTGATGCTGCTTCTATTCCTCCTCTTCCTGCTCCTCCTGATGCTGGTTCTCCACCTCCTCCCCCCTTTTCCTCCTCCTCCTCCTCCTCCTCCTCCTCCTCCTCCTCCTTCCCCCCTTGCCGTGATCGTGCTCTTCCGTCTGTCTCAGCATGCCCAACTAGAGCTGTCCTTCCTGACCCGACCTGCTGGTTCCGGGACCCGCCGACGAACCGCGTTCAAGTTCGCTTGGCTTTCGAAGGACCGTACCTTGGATCGGCGGCGAGCGAGGGGGGAAATGAGCAGGAGAAGGCCTTCCGGGAAGGTTCGGAAGTCCCCCGGCCTTCTGAGAAGTTTTAGTTTTTGTCAAGCCTTCCCCGAAAGCAGAACAACTTCTCTGAAGGCGTGAGGGCTTCTGAGAGGTCCCGCCGCCTTCTGAGAAGCCCTTCTCCTTCTCACTTCCCCCCTCGCTCGCCGCCGATTGGAGGCGGTGCCCCATGCCTTTGCTGACGGGTCAGCCTGCGAGCCATCTCTGGCTCGTGTTCGGTCGGCGGGATGGGCGGCGGGCGGGGGGAAGGCCCCGAGGGCCCTCCCGGGGGCGTGCGCCGCGTGCGGTCGCCCCCGATCAAAAAGGGCGCGGCGCGGGAGGACTTTGCTGGGGGCGACGCCGGCCGAAATCGAGGGGGAAAACCCACGGACTGAAAGATCGTGGCGGGGGAGGGAGGAGCCGGGAGGGGGGGGAAGAGGGAAGAGGAAGGGAAGAGAGGAGAATGACGAGGAGGACCTGCATAAATCCTAGACACAGCATCGAAACGGCAAGATACCCTCCCTCCAAGTTCCCTTTTCAAAGGTCCCTACAATGATGTATCTTCCTTGCAGGAAGGGCCACATGGGAAGTCGACAGTCTGAGAATCCTGTCGTGCTAAAAAACATCCTGGGATGTTAGCGCCGCGAGTCAACGTGACCTTTTCGCACTGACAACCCGACACAATGCCAGAACACCCTTGCTGGGGTCTGAACCACAGGAACACTTGAAACCGTTACAAGCATGTCAAACGAATGTGCGCAGCACTGGCGCGAGAACCTCACTTCGAAAAGGAAGTGCCCGCCAGCGTTGAAACTGCTGGAGTATTTTCGTACGCATGTGCGCGGCGATAATGCGCAAACCACATTTTGAACAGGACCTGCCCCCTATCCTTGAAGCTCTGGAACTTTGAATGCGGACGTGCGCGGAGCTCGCGCGAGAGCCGCATATTGAAAACGACCGTCCCGCCATCCATCTTTGAATTTGTTGGAAATGTCAGGTTTCAGGATCACACTTTGCGAGGAAGTCTCAAGCGAAAAAAACGACCCGCCCTAGCGCAGTGTAGGGGTGCGACAGGGAGGAGTTATTTGAAAAGGATAAAGTAATCGAGGAGGAAGAAGGGGGAAGGATAATGAGGAGGAGGACCAGTGCAAACCCAAGACGCATCAACCGCTTCAACGAAATTGCAGTACATCCTCCCTCCAAATTCACTCTTCATTTGTCCCAACACAGATGTGATATCATTACGGGAAGTGCCCCATGGGAACTCAACCGTCTGAGAGTCCGCAGTCCTGCCGAAACACGGCTCTTGGGATGTCAGCGCCACGACTCAACGTGACTGTCGGGCCCTGACAACTCTACATAATACCAGAACGCCCTTGCTGGGGTTTGAACCATAGGAAAACTTGAAACTGTTACAAACGTGTCAAACGAATGTGCGCAGCACTGACGCGAGAACCTCCTTTCGAAAAGGCAGTGCCCTCCCTCCAGCTTTGAAGCTGCTGCAACCTTTGCAGACGCATGTGCGCGGCGCTAGCGACACGCAGGCGTAGACATTGAGGTCGGGGAACAAACACCACGAGACAGACGCGCAACGAAGATCGAAAAACCGGCGGCTCCGCGAAGAGGAACAGAACGCGATAGTTCAACCCCTGGATCAATTAGCTCACCCCCGCCCTCAAGCAGTGCAAACGCCCTGGCTGTTGACTCCAGTGGCCCGCGAGACGGTCGCGTAGCGAAGATCGAAGAACCAGCGGCTCGCCGAAGAGGAACCGAACGTGTTAGCTCGACACCTGGGTCAGTTACCTCGCCCCCGCCCTCATGCAGCGCAAATTCCCTGGACGTTGACCCCAATGGCCCAGGAGACGGTAGCGCAGCAAACGTCGAAGAACCAGCAGCTCGCCGAAGAGGATCAGTTGGCCCGCCCCCACCCTCACGCAATGTAAATGCCCTGGACTTTGATTCCAGTGGCCGATGAAACCGCCGCGTAGCGAAGATCGAAGAACCAGCGGTTCGCCGAAGATAACCGAACGCGCTGGATCAATCCTGGGATCAGTGACCTCGCCCCCGCCATCATGCAGTGCAAACGCGGTGGATGTTGATTCCACTGGTCCATCTTCGTTGAATTTCCTGGATGTTGATTCCAGTGGCCCATCAATCTTCGTTGCATGCTCTATCGAAATCGCACTCAACGTGGATTTCGTAGGTCGATTCGCGCAGTATCTGTGGCACCATTCCACAGCGACCGTCGGGGAGAGGAGGGCTCGTTTCTAAGGGGCGGATGGTCTGGAGCTTGTGGGACAAGGAGGAGAACGAGTAGCCACCTGGAAGCACGCAGACGCTGCCACCCTCACATACGCATCAATCACCGTGGTCGACATTCGAGATCCACACGCGGCAACCGATGGCGACAACGCAACCGGAGTAGCAGGGGCCGCTGCGCCTGACCCCGCAGAGCATGAGATCGGCGAGGAAGCTGCCATCGACGACGGCGCACCCGCCGAGGAAGCACGCGCCGAAGTCCAGTCGACCGTGCGTGGGGCCCCCCGCGGGCCGACGAGCTCAGGAATGGCCACCAGCGTCGAACACGGAAGACCTGTGGCAGGACAGACAGTTGGAGCCGAAGCAGCTCTGGAGGTGGTCAACAGAACTGGGCAATGTAGGACCGCGTGCGGACCGCCCTCGCATGGTAGAGGATCGACGACACACTGGCGGGCACCATGCCGTGCCCGATGGCATGGGGCCGCAGCCTGAGCCTCGCGACAGGGCCGACCCACCTCCGCCCAGCGGCGACAGCAGGGCCGCACCAGGGGCCCGCGTGCTCCAGGGCGGCACGGCAGCAGCACGGGCGGCCTGCACACGGGCGCGGAGCGACCGAGCGAACGGGCCAGAGAGAAGGGGGCGATCTTGCATTTGGCAATCTTGAAGGGCAAATGGGCCACAGCATCGGCAGCGCACATCGCGCGAAACACGTGAACTGACGCGCAGCAGCAAGGGCCCCTCCCACGTCGCCCGCGCAGGCCCTCACCAGACCGCGCCCCCGAGCCTCGATGCAGTCCGCGAAGCCCCGCGAGAACATCGCGACGCTCATGGCGTCGAGGGGGCCCGACGACGCGCGCCCCTGGACCGCGCCACTCCTGGCCCAATGCAGCCTCGCGAAGCTCCCGCGGTGGCCGACGAGGCCCTCGGTTGCGGCGCGGCGGAAGAGGGGGGGCCCTGGGGGCCGAGCGGAAGCCCCAAGGCCTGGGCCACGAAAGCGAGAAACTGCCCATTCAACGACGGGGGCGCCAGGCCGAAGTCCGAGGGGAACATGGCGGGGAGGTCCGGCGACGCGCGCGGGGCGACGGGCAGCGCCCTCGCCGAGCCGTTCAACTTTCACTCCGAGATATCAAGCCCGAAGTCGCGCGCAGGCACGCGCCCCTCTCTGACGGGGCGGGGCCGCGGCGCCCAACGCAAGACGAATCGAAACAGCGGCCGCCGCCGAGGGGGCCTTGACGCCCGAGCCTCGGAGCCCCAAAAACATTAACTTTCTCAGAATGCCTAGAGCAAGATCCCTCCTGAAGCTCGGAGTCGAGAGTCGCCTTCGGACGGGGGGCCTGGATCGTCGCGCTCGCGTCGTCGAACAACGACTGGCCCGAGAATGGCCAATCGAGCGCATTCATCAAGACGCGCTCACCGCGCTGACGCGCCTGCCGCGCGGCGCGGGGTAGGCCGTCGACCCCGGGGGCCGAATCCCGAGCGCGTCGGAGGACGCGACGGAGAGCGCGAAAGGGAAGTGGAGGAAGATGAACATCAGCGGCAGACAACAGCCAGCGACGAGCGCAATCGGCAGCGGCAGCAGCGCCCCAACCTTTGCGAGTAGAGACGGTTCGCCAGCAGCCCCCAAGGACCTCGGGCTTCCCAGTGGGATCCGAGACGACTTTATCAGACGAGCCCCTGACGCTGGAACGAGGAAGACGCTTGCCGATAGGAGACGAGAGACGAGCGCGCCGTTTAAGTGCGCGCTATTGCTTACGGACTTGGACAGTGTACGAGCTTGGATAGCGGGGCCCACAGCCTCCTGCCTGGCCAACAACTCGGACCGCTCGGTCTCGGCCGCCCACGACTGGAGACGCGGCGACCGCTGCTCGAGGGTCAGCGGGTGGATGGGCGAAACAAGGGCGTCTTCGACATTCGAAAAAAATCCTCGACCAAAGGATGCGACCCAAAGGGGCGATGGGCGAGCCGAGCGTCACGCCGCCAGACCGCTCGAGCGATCGACTTCGAGACCCGCAATGTCGCCGCGAGGTCCGCGGGCCGAGACTTGGAGAGGAGGCCCCGCGCCCCCTGGCCAGCGATTCGCAACAGTTGGCGCGGCGGCGACGTCGTAACCCGCTGGGTCTCGTCGACCAACCCTTGGGGCCGAGAAGCAGAAGCAGGGACCTGGCACGCGCGCTCAGAGGCGAGTCGCTGCTCGGGCGGGCGAGCGGAACGGGGGGCGATGGGAGATGGCGAGCGCGGCACGATCTGGAATCATTGCGTCCGATATCACCGCGGGCGAGCCCGGGGTCGCGAGCGCGAAGTGCCGGCAGGCCTGCCAGCTGGGCTCGAGCAGAAGACGCGATCGATGCGCCGTTGCAGCGGCGGTCGCAACGCGCGCCCTCGCCCCCCACCGCGCCGGCGCGCGCCCATGGCGACGGCGGGCCAAACGCTTCCCAGGCCGCCGACGGCGAGCGCAGCGCCCGAGCCTCCTCGGTGGAGAAGTTGAAGTCGCCGTGGGCAAATGTAGACACACATGTAGACACACGCTCGGGAGCCCCCTCGGCCAACGGGAGGATGTCAGTGGTGACCTCATTCACAACGCTCGCGGGCAGCGCGTGGCTTGCACATCGCAAACGATGAGTGTCGCCTGATCAGATCAGAGAAAACAGAATCTTCAGCGCTCGCCCTTCCACCAGCGCCACTGGATCAACGATGGCGGGGGACCGAGTAGATTGGGCAAGAGCAGGCACCGACATTGCAACAACACCTGCGATCTTCGACCCCTCGAAACTGGTGAAGACCTGAATGGCAGGGTTGATGGAGTGATGGAGTGAACGAAAGCCTCTAACTGGATGGCATCGTAACGAACTTCCTGCAACGGTACCATTGACTCGCCCCGCTTCCGCCGTGCCACGTAGCCCCTCCTGACGCTGGCCTCACCCCCCGCAGCCTGCAGCAGGGCGCGACAGGACTCCACGCGGCGAAACGAAGAGCGCGGACGGCAGCGCCCGCACGAGGACAAAGAGAGTGAGAGAGCGACCAGACCCTGAAAGCACCTCTGCTCCTCCGCCTGGGCTGGCCAGGTGACGCGCAGCCCTGGCCAGCGCACCCTTGTCCATGTTGTTGCGACGAAGGCGAGCCGGCTCCCATAATAACTCCGGCGGCACCTGGCCATGCCTCACCTCAATGCGCAAGATTTTGCCCCACGCCACCATGAGGGCCCCCAGGCCCCTGTCCAGGAACAAGCGGGCGTTAGGGCACCCGGCAGCCACCGCGGCACGGCAGCGACGAAGAAGAATGCGAATGCGCTTCGGAATCTTGTCTGGTCCCAGGAAGATACGGCAGTCGGGGGCCCCAGCCACCAACGCAGAGAACTCCTTCCACGAGGGGCCCTCCTTGATACTGGACAAGACGCGACCGACCTTGGAGCTGGCAGCACCCACAAAGCCCCCGAAAGATATGACGAAGCGCCGGGAGAGCGTGCGACCGCCGACGGCGATCTCGTAGTGGGTGTCCTCAAGGAAGCCTAGCGACCCGAGCCACGGGATGAGAGTGGTCTGGACAACGTCGGGAGAAGTCGGTTTCTGCGCCATCGCGGCCCCGATGGCCGCGTCGACGTCGCGCTCGAAACCGCTAAGCACTGCCGCGGGCTGCTGAGGGCGCTGCTCGGCAAGCACCAAGTATTTGGCCAAGTCGTCCAGACTCTGCTGCATCGCCAGGAGATCGGCGTCGTGACTAGCAAGATGCGCATCATGCCAGTCGAGGCGGGCGTTGGACGTGTCGATCTGCTGTTGGAGCTGGCGCGTAGCTGTGACCCCTGCGGGCGCACCGTGGACATGACCTGATCATCAATGGCGGCGCTCTGGCCGTCGATGGAGGCGCGCAGAGCGTCAACGAAGGCGAGCATCTTGGTGTCGGCCTCTGCAACCGAGGACGAGACGGTGCCGCCGATCTCCTTGACCACCTCGGCTTTCAGCTCATCGAGCAGCGGGTGCAACTCGGCACGACAGAGCTGACGCAAGCATTCTTCGGGGACCTCCTCGTCGAAGTCGGGCGGCATGTCCTCATCGGCTGCATCAACGGCCGCAGGTAGAGCACGACGCTCGCCAGGAGGAGGAACAGCAGTGGGCCCGCGCGCGGGCGCGAAGCCCTTGCCTGCGCCAGCGTCTCCCTCCAGCTGCCACAGCAGCGGCCCCCTGCGTGGCGAGATCTGCCTCAGCCATGAACGCCTGCATGGCTGCATCACTGGGCACACCCATCGGCACAGACGCGAACGAGAGCGAGCAGAGGCTGACGGTCCATCGGGCTTGAGCTCACCGCAAGAAGCGTGAGTGTCCGCCTGAATATGACTTCAGGATGGCCCTGCAGAGAGCTGCCGTGCTCAACTGGGGGCTGTCCCCACCTTGAGCCAACATGGCAACGGAGGGAAAGGGGAGGGGGAAGAGAAGGAGGAGAAGCAGGAGAAGGAGGAGGAGGAGGAGGAGGACGAGGACGAGGACGAGGAGGAGGACGAGGACGAGGACGAGGACCCGGACGAGGACGAGGACGAGGGCGAGGAGGAGGAGGAGGAGGAGGAGAGGAGGAGGAGGGAGGAGGAGGAGGAGGAGGAGGAGGAGGAGGGAGGAGGAGGAGAGGAGGAGGAGGAGGAGGAGGAGGAGGAGGAGGAGGAGGAGGAAGAAGAGGGGGAGGAGGAGGCGCGAGGAGGACGGGGAGATCCTGGGAGATCTGGGCCCTCAGCCCTGGAGGCAGATGCGGCACCGCCGACCGCGCACGCGCGGGCGGGGCGGGGGCTGGCCGCCGCGCCCCGGCAGCGGCCTCCCGGGCGGGCGCGGTGGTCTGGGAGCCTCCCCCCACAGGGCCACAGTAGCGGCTGCGGGCCCTCTTGAACAGTGCAGGCGCCTCTGGCGCCTCTGGCGCGCGGGACAGGGAGGGGAGGGAGGGGGAGGGGGAGGGGGACAGGGGGGGCAAGCTAGGTGCGCTCGCGTCATATCTGACGTCCTACCCCTCCCTCCCATCCCTCACCATGGCGTAGAAATCATCTCTGTTCGCACCGTCGGAAGTCTAGCAGGGCAATGATTGCGAGATGTTACACGATGCATGGTAGAGCACGGCATGGCATGGCGTAGAAGAGCAAGGCAGAGCGTAGCATGCCACAGCATGGCGTGGCATTGCGCAGTGAAGCATTGCATCACAAAGCATTGCCTTCAGCGGGAGCAACATTTTGAAAAAGCGAAAACCCAACTCCCAGGAATCCAGTAACAGTACGCGGAGGGGGGCCGGACATCTTCCGGACGTAGGGGAGAGAGGATAATAACATTCAGATTGTGTAATTGTAGAGGTGGGGGGCAGAGGGGGGGAAAGGGGGGGGGGAGAGGGAAAAGAAACGAGCCTCCCTCAGGGAGGAGGGAAGATGGCAGTGGGGAGAGGGAGGAGGGAGGAGGAGGGTCGAGCGTGCCCAAAGGCGACCGAGAGTGGGAAGAAGCACGCGAAAGTGGAGGAGGGAGGCTGGAATGGGTATGGGGGGTAGGGGAGGAAGAGAAAGAGGCAGATGCTGCTGCGGGAGGGGGAGGACGACGGTGGGGAGGAGGAGGAGGAGGAGGAGAGGAGGAGGAGGAGGGGAGGAGGAGGAGGAGGAGGAGGAGAGGAGGAGGAGAAGGGGGGCATGGGAGAGCCACATCACTCAACGGCACTGGCTCAGGCTGCAGACTTGTGAAAGAGCCCTCTCCGCGCCGGTCAAACACACGTGACCCTCGGCTGTTCGTGCAGCCGTGCGCAAATCCTCCTCGCCCTCCTCCTCCTCCTCCTCCTCCTCCTCCTCCTCCTCCTCTTCCTCCTCCGTCTTCGAACCTTCGAACGGCGGACTTTCGTGTCCGTCGTGGCAGCGGCCCTCGACCCTCCAGAGCTGGTGGGGGGGTTACAGAACCATCAAGAAGGGGAGACCGGCGAACCCCCAGCGCCAGTAAAGAGAGGACAGGGATAAGGGAGACCGACCGGCGAAGACGCAAAAAAGAGAAGGGAGGGGAGGGAAAACGTTGGAGGCTCGGGGGCGCCAACACCAACACAGGGGGTTGCCTCCACAGGGGGAAGATGATCCTAGATTTCGGTGTTGGTGGCAATAGCTCGGAAACTCTGGAAGCCAAGATATCACCGCCATCACCGAGATCGGGATCTTCTTCCCTCTGTGGAGGCACACCGCCGATATTGGTGTTGGTCAGGGCTGGACCTAAACGTTGCTTTTCGTCGTGCTCTCGCTTTCTTTTTTTCGCTTTGCTCCGCCTGTGTCCCTGCACCTCCCTGCCAAAACGAGAAACAAGACACGGCCAAAACGCAGAAAAGCAGCGTTTAGGTCCGGCCGTCTAGGGGCACCATTCGGCTACCTTGGGCTCACTCGTGGGCGGTTTTCGGGCGCTGCGGGGCCTCTTGGCGGGGCTCTTGCGGCTCCTTTGGGGTGTCTTGAAAGCCTGCTGGCAATCTCACGGGCGTCCTTTGGGGCGGAGGGCTCGGAATCTCAATCCCCTTCTGGGGCCGCTCTCGGGGCCCTATTGGGCGCCCCTTGGGCAGTCTTGAAGCCGTTTTGGGTTGTCTTGGGACTCTCTTGGGCGCCTCTCGGAGCGATCGTGGTGGCCTCTTGGGCCGTCTTGGACAGTGCGAAAGTGAAAAATCGAGGATTCGAAATGCCAGTTTCCCAAATGATTGAGACGATGCTTGCCCCTTTGGGGCGCCCTGTTGGGGTGCTCTTCGGACTCTCTGGAGGCGTCTTGGGGGCCTCTGGTGCCGCCTTGGCTGAGTCATGGGGGTAATTGAGGGTATCTTAGCGTCGCTTCGATCCCACCCACGGCCATCTTCACTCACCTCCAGGCTGCAATCCCCCCCCTGGAGGCCCCCCACCCCGACGGCCAAATTCGGTTCCCAAGAGAGAAATGTGCTGCCCCTGGGCCTTGGGCCCCAGACGCTCGTATGTCTATAGATCTGTATATCTATTTATATATATATATACATGAATTGGCGCTTCGAGCCGTGCACTTTGGTCCTTGAATGCTGGCATGCTGACAAGAAGGCAATAAGGTAAAACGAAACATTTAGCGATGACTCGTTGTTGCCTTGTCTGGCTATCGTCGTTGTAATAACATGCTTCGTTATCCTTTTCTCATCTGTCATATTCCTCTTCCTAATGCCCGCCCAACACTCCGAATTCGCCCCCATCCTCAGCTCTTTTTTGCGGAGGCTCGTTCTGGTAAGCCTCACGAAAGTCTGTAAGGGTTTGTTGGGGCCTTCTGGAAGCCTCCTGGGTTCCTTCTGGGGATTTCTGGGAGCTTCCCCGGGCCACCCCGCTTCCAACCGCGGTTTCCCTGAACGACCAGGTCACGATTTGAAATGATTCGGAAAGCGTGTTGGGGCCATCTTGGGCCGTCATGGGGCTCTCTTCGGGCCATCTTGGGGCCTCGCTCGGCCGTCTTTGGGTTCCCATTGGATTGCCTGGAAGCCTCTCACTTAAATTTGGAGCAATTCCCTGCCCTCCTGGGCGGTCTCGGACGCCCGGAAGACCGAAGAACTGAGCGTTCCCCACCAAATTATGCAAAAACCTTTATACATCAATGCACAAACCTATATATATATATATATATATATATACATATATATATATATAGAGAGAAAGGCCTATATATATACATACATCTATACACATATGTGTGTGCGTGTGCGCATGGCGTTTGTGATCCTAGCGGCCTTGGCCTTGTACTCGATCATGCAGCGTGGGTCCAATCCCTCAGCGCTGCGGCGCGGTGAAGCGGGGTCCCTTCCCTGTCCGTGCGCCTGGTGCGATGGTCCGTCCTGTGTCCTCTCGCCTCATGCCCAGCAGCCCGTGGGTGTCCAAGCCATGGCCATGGGCGGCGCCTCGATCCACGTGATGCGGATGTGCTCGCCTTGGCTGATCGGCAGGCAGTTGCCCGTGCACTTGTCCCCTGGGCCTCAGTCTTTAGAGGCCTTGCGGTCCTGATTGACGTCGCCGCTGGGGTGGTCCATGACCGTCCTGAAGAGCGCGACTGGGAAGCATCCTTCTGGTGCCGCGCCCTGCGCACGTCCGTGAGCGTCTTGGCAGCGATGTGCGCTGCCGATGCTCGGGATGGTCTCAGCAGTTTCGGCATTGGCACCCATGGGCGCGATCTCATCCTGCTTGTCGACGCGGTCCTTGCTGCCGTCACTACCTCCATCAGGGTGAGCGTCTGTAGGTCGTTGGCCGCTGGATTGGCTCCGCGTGGCGGCCTCGACGTTGGCGTCGGCGCGCGTTGGCGACGGCGCCTTCTGCCGTGGCGGTGGCAGTCGGGTGGCCGGTGACGTCGGCGTAGCCGTGTGAGTGTCGTAGATGGTCCTGTTCAATGGCGATGTGTTGCTCCCCTTCGCTGCCGGCGCAGGGCTCCTCTAGGGGATAGCGACGGGGGGGGCCGTGTAGCGTGGTGGCCTTGAGCGGTCGATCGGCGCGTGCGCATCGTCGACAGCGTCCGTCGCTGGCGCGGCGATCCGCCGCGGGGCCGGGGGCGCAGTTAGCATCTCTGGCGCCCGGGAGCGAATGCTTTCGTAGTGAGTGCTTTTGTCTGCTGCGGCTCGTCGGCGGCGATGTCTTTCTTGGTGCGAGGGGGCACCTGGTCGTAGACGTCATCCCAGTCAGCTCTGTCGCGCGCGATGGTGTTGGCGAAGGTGCACTCGTTGAATTTTCCGTCTCTCGAGTTGCCCATTGCGTATCAGTGTGATCCGCAGCCCCTGCAGAACTGCCGCAAGTTCGCTTGTGGCTGGAGTCGGGGCGCCGGAGCTGCATCCTGGGTTGCGGTCGCTCGCGCGCGGTTTGTCAGCCCCGTCTAAGATGTCCGTAGTCCTTCCCAGATTCGTCCCATGTCGATGGCGCCCGCGACCATGTTCCTCGCGATATCGCGCCCGACCTGCGCGGCATGTAGCGGCGGACCGCCAGAGTGCATGTTGGTTAGGATTGAGGCTCAGTCGCAGTAACTGATGTGGCAGATGGCGAGCGCGACTTTCGCGGAACTACATGTCGTCGTTGTACTTGTTCTGGTGCCTCGCTAGGTGGATCTGCTCGGGCGGCGTGACGTCGCTGATCTCGTTGGCCTTCGCGGGCGGCGGCCCCGGTGGGAGCGGTGGCCCGGGCACGCCGCCGTCGGTCTTGCACGGGGGACGGGGGCTGATGACGCAGTCGCCCATGGTCGCGCTGCGGCACCTGAAGCCCCCCTGCCGTCACTGGTTACGCACCTAATCCACAGTGTTCGTAGCTTCCACTTCTCTGGGAACTCCCGCGTGGACTCTTTGGTCTGCGGATGATGATAGCACGCCGTAGCCTCGTCATCCTTGGGTCGCGCTCTCCACGGGCATGGCAGCTGCATGTGGCCCGACTGCAATGCCGGCAGTCCTGCAAAGATGTCGGGAAGCTCGGGATTGCGCGCCTTCGGCTCGCAGATCCGGGGCGCGGTTCTTCTTGGGGAGCATCTTGGTGGCATGTCGGGCTGGCTCTGCTCAGCCGTCGGGTGCGTCGCCCATCGCGGATTGTCGATGGCGCTGGCTTGGCTGCCAGTGCCATGGCCGTCGTCGCAATTGGCTGCCAATTATGGGGGACGGCTTGGGCCCGTCTCTCCTCGGGCGGCGTGAGGGTGCGTGGCCTTTTGGCAACTGGGTCGATTGATTGCCACGTAAGGCGCAAGCTTTGTACGTAACCCTGGGATCTGGGTTAGGCCGGCCGAATTGGGCTTCTCCTCATACTCGAGGTCCTGGTTGAACTCGCGAGACTGTCTGTCGCATCTCTTCCAGCTGCTTGTCGACGGCTGCGGTGTGTTCTTCGGATCTCTTGTCGTAGTCGGTCACTTTGA